CTATCAGCTGTAAAAGAATAATAATAATCTCGACGTCAATGTTCAGCTATAGAAAACTCTTTAGAAAATGTTACTAAACAAAAGCAAGCCAATTGTAAGCTAGAAATTGTATGTTAAAAAAATATCAAGTCTCAGAATAGTGTATATAATGTGCTACTTTCGTGAAAAAAGAAAAGGTGGCATATACATATTTATTTGCATTTGCATAAAAGATGACAAGATGGGCAAGAAAAAAAAGGATTACATAAGATGGAAATTTTAATAGACAGGAATAAGGAGAGATTAAGACTGCTTACATATACCTTTTTAATATTATTAAATCTTTGAACCACATCATTTTATCACTTATTCAAAATATAAAATTACATTCAAAAGTACCTTTACCCAAATGAGTTTCAAAATTTATGTGCACAAAAAACCTGCATACAAATTTTACAGCAACTTTATTCAAAATTGCCCAAACTTGGATGCAACCACGATGTCCTTCAATAGGTGAATGGAAAAATAAATTGTGGTATATCCAGGCAATGGATTATTATTCAGAGCAAAAAAGAAAACATTCTATCAAGCTTGGAAGAGACATCAGTGAACCTTAAATGTCTATCACTAAGTGAAAGAAGCCAATCCGAAAAGGCTACATACTATATGATTCCAACTATATAACCTTCTAGAAAAGGGAAAACTATGAAGACAGTAAAAAGATAAGGAGTTTCCAGGGGTTAGGGGAAGGGACAGATGACTAGCTAGAACATAGAGGATTTTTAGGGCACTGAAAACACTCTGAATGATAGATGGATACATAGTATTAGACACTGTCAAACCCCAGAGAATACACAACACAAAGAGTGAACTTTAATAAACTATTGACTCGGTCAATAATCATGTATCAATACAGGCTCATCCATTGTAAAAGATATTAAGGCAAAATGTTAATAATAGGGGAACCTAGGAGGCAGGCAGCAGGGGTGGTGAGGAATTATATGAGAACACTCTGTACTTACACTCATTTTTCCACAAACCTAAAACTGCTTTAAAAATGTCTATTAATTTAAAAGAAAAGAAAGAAAAGTGAACAGGATGCCAGGCAGGAAGAGTTCTGAATGGCATACAAATCAGCCTGGATTCTCATCTTATAAACAACAACCCAACATTTTTAAACAAGGCAGTGACAACGCTGTGGTCTGGAAAGAAAAGTCCCTGCAGGGAATAGAATTCAGGGGAAAGAGACCTGGGCACCACTAAGCAGATCAAAGCAGAAAGGAGATGGGCGTGGGTGTGAATGAATTGGGAGTGGTGAGGAGATGGGGACACAGGCAAGGAAGCAGCAAGACTCAGTGACTGCTGTCCCTCTGCGTCCACAGATGAGTCGGGAAACATGGCTCAAAACTTGCTTCTGGGTTTCTAGAATAAGCTCTGTGGCAGACAACAGAGCTGACAGAGGAAGAGAAGCAAATGAAATGAGAATAGTGAATTTGGTTTTTGACCTGTGAAGTTATTTTACCTGCAGCATACGGATGTGAAAACATGCCAAGGCAACTCAGAACACAGATACGCAACTCAGAAAAAAGGTCAAGGCTGCCTAGCAACTAACTCTGGTATGTATCAAACTGTGCTTAGTTATTAGTCAAGGGACATAATTTATGGTGTATTTGAGGTGTACACCATAAATACATGATGTATTTGAGAATTAATGTATCATAACTAGTGAAAGGGATCTAGTCTATTCCCTAAAATGATTGTAATCATGAGAATAAAACATATAAAGTCATTTAAACTATGCCCCAAAAAAGAAAATAAATTTTTCTAAAATATTTATTTCAGTTATAAAAGGTTTTGTGCAATACTGTACTTACTATGGCTACTAAAAAATGACCCCCAAATTTAGTGATATAAAACAACCATTTATTATGTTCATGAATTCGGTGCATCAAGAACTTGGACAGGGCACAGAAGGGATGGTGTGAGTCTATTCCATGGAGTCTGAGGTCTGAAGTCACTGAAGGGGCATTCACTCACACATCTGGCTTTGGCACTGGCTGCAGGCTCTCCATGGGGGCCCCACCGCATGGTATCTGCTGGGTTCCTCCCAGCATTGTGCCTGGGAACTCAGGGCTACAGTCCCAAAGAAGGGAGACAAGCAGAAGTCAGATCCTTGTGTGACCCAGCCCTAGAGGTCACGCAGCATCACCTCCATCAGGTTTCACTGCCTGGTACCACCAGAAGCCCTCATGAAGATTCACGGCAGGGGTAGGGGGGGCATAACCCCCCCAACTCCATGGAGGTGTGTCCAGCACACTGTGAGAAGGACATGTGGGGTGGGATTTGTTAGAGCCATCTTCGGGAAATCTGCCCACATGAAAATCAAAGTGCTTCAGTGTGCGTGACTCTCTGGGAAAAAGAAACATGTAGGGAAGGCAGCCAGGGAAGGTCAGTAACAACTCAGACCAAGTCAACTTGATCCATATCCAGTCCCCTCTGTCCCAGAAACAGAAACATTCAGATCTAAACAACATAGACATTCAAACATTAATGAAGACCCATTTAAAACCTACCATGAGCATCAGAGAACCTAGCACTCTTCCCCATCCATATGAAAGGAAAGTCCCACCGAAGTTTAGGAGCCTGAACCAAGTTAGTGGTGCAACATCAGAGGCAAGTGGTTCTGGCAAAAGTCCTGTGGGAGACAGTCTGCCACTGCCCCAGCCACAGACTAGAACCACGACCTGCTCAACTCTGCCCATTCATCTCAGTGCTGCTGCTGAATTCACCTAGCATAACCAGCTTCTTGTAGAGGGCTATTGCTCTCTGGTGAAGCTTAATGCTTTTAGAAGGCTGAAACAGAGATTCAGATAAGAAAATGAAATACACATGGATGAATACCCATTTAAAATGCACAATCACCAGAAAAATTGGTTTATTTTATAAAGTATAAAACACCAAAGGGTAGAGACTATGTCAGTGGCAAGAGTTTGTTAATTTATCAGCCCCAATTTTTTTTCTCTAAATTCTTCATCCTTTAACAATTACTGTTTAAACACATACAACTAACTATACCATAACCAAGAAGTTTATTCCATGCAAAGATGGTTCAATTTATCATGAAATAGAAAGTAAAAAAAATAAATAAATAAATCAGGGGATTAGCTTCTGATTATCTCCTGATCTTTAACAAAATGTACTACCTATTTCTCAGGGTTTTTTAAAAGCATTCAAAGCATGAACTGATGTACACTTTTTAACATGACAAAACGATATGAATCTCCATTCCAAAGCCAGTATCTTACATAATATGGAAGTACTAGAGGCTGCCCCACTCAGGTCAGGAACAAGGCAAAGATACACACTTTCTCCATCGTTATTAATACTGAATCCAAGCCATAAGCCAAACAGATGAGAAAAGAATTAGAGATGTAAGAACAATCCAACTACCCATATTTGCAGGTTTTATAATAACACAGCTGGAAAATCAAAGAGAATCAATAATATAAGCTGACACAATAAATAAAAGAATTTAGTTTAAAAAGTAGAATGCAAAATTAACATAAAATAGCCATCATGATGATTTGAGAGAATACCATTGAAACATGTATATTACCACATGTGAAATAGATCACCAGTCCAAGTTCGATGCAGGGCTCTCAAAGCCAGTGCACTGGGACAACCCAGAGGGATGAGATGGGGAGGGAGGTGGTAGGGGGGTTCGGGATGGGGGACACATGTACACCCGTGGCTGATTCAGGTCAATGTATGGCAAAAGCCACCACAATATTGTAAAGTAATTAGCTGCCAATTAAAATGTGTTAATTTTAAAAAATAGCCATCATGAAAGTTTGACACCACACTCTGGGAATATGGACAAACAGGCATTGTCTTACATTGCTGGTGGGAATGTAAAATGGCACACCACCTATAGAAAGAAATTTGACAATATATAACAAAATCACATGGGCTTTCCAGGTGACTCAGTGGTAAAGAATCCTCCTGCCAATGCAGGAGACTCAGGAGATGTGCGTTCAATCCCTAGGTTGGAAAGATCCTCTGGAGGAGGAAATGGCAACCCACTCCAGCATTCTTGCTGGGATAATCCCATGGACAGAGAAGCCTCATGGGCTACAGACCATGGAGTCGTGTCGGACACAACTGAGCGACTGAGAAAGTAGGCATAACAAAACCACATGCTTATAAACCCTGTGACTCAGAAATCCCATTTCTAGGCACCTATCCCCTAAAATATTGACTGAACAGGTTTTTAAGCACTCAAAATAAGAATTGGTGGATAATTTTTTAACATGACAAAAATATATCAACCAAGACCAGACACTGTGACAGGTGTACAAAGCTATTATGCACACCAGCACTATGTGTAATAGCAAAAGCCTGGAAAACAATCCAAGTGTCTATCAACATGAGACTGATTAAAGTATGATTACATTCATAGAATGAAACACTACACAGCTCTAAATGAGTAATGAAGATGGTCACTCCAGATGGAATGACTTGCAAAACAGAGTTTTCGTTGAAAAATTCAAAGTGGAAAAAAGTATATATAGCATGCTACCATTCATCTAATGAAGGAAGAAAGGAATTTGGACAAATATGCACATACATATGTGAGTGTGTTTGCTACATATACATGTAAATTTTTAAATGGAAGGATAAACCCCAAACTTCCAAAACATTATTACCTATAGAAGAAAAGGGAAATAGAGAAATGATACAAAGGTAGAAGCTAGACTTCTCTGAATATATTTTACTTCATAGATTTGACTTTGGAATGGGTAAATAGTTTACTTAATTATAAAATATGTGCCATAGCAATGAATTCTCTTTGGACCTGGGGTTTTTAAGGCTATAAACAAACCAGAATGGAAAGAGGAATCAACAGAACCCACAAGAGAGTTCTGTGGGTAAACGGATTTCCACATTAACAAGTCAAGGTGCTGGGCAAAGCCCCAGAAAGAGAATATGTGTTAACGGAGAGAGAGGAATACGTGACTTACCTCAACCTTGCTCTCAGGTTCATGATCAGCGGCTGAGAAATATACAACCTCTTGCACTTCATCCCTGGGCCGAGCTGAATTTTTCCCAAATACCACCAGACCGTCCTTTGCACGTGGCGGGAAGGCCACAAAGCAGTAACTTGGAGGAGCTACAGCCATCCTAAAAAGAGAGAGATGCCAGAGAGAGAATGGAAGCGGGCCTAACGTGGAAAATTCCACCAGGGAGCTCTTCAGACATATTTCACCAGCTAACCAAGTTTCACTGTTGAACTGTGTGCAACAAGCTCATTTGGAGATCCCAGCTGGCAAATGAAGCTGGAGTGTCTGGAGTAGAATTACGGAGCCACTGAGACCAGATACTGTTAGTACTCTGTGGGATTAAACGAGCAACAGAACGCAGTGACAGCCAAAAGCGCAATGACGTAGGAGAAAGGAAAGGAGGTTATTGTTCCAGGCAGAAAACACACACACACTGCAATCTGTCACAGCAATAGAAAAATAGATAACTGTACCTTAAAACAGTGCACTACAGAAGTGCCTCTTGATCTAGAGGGCCATGGCCACCCTGTGATAGATTTTGGAGCGCTGATGGGGAAACGGGTCTGGAAATAAACTGAAAGATACCTCTCTCTTTTTATCTATTTTTACTCTACCTCAATGACATCACACACAATCGTCTCTAGGCTTTCTTCTCACCTCTCCAGCTGCTCCTGGGCTGGCTAGTTCTCTTCCACCTGGCTACTAGGTATCTTCACAGCTTGGTCCTTCCTTCCTCATCTAATGCTCTTTCTGTGAAAACTCATCTATGCCCAGAGCTCCCCATGTCATTTACAAGCCAATGACCTACACATATAATTCCAGCTCAGTTCTCTCCTTGAGCTCTTGACCCACACACCCAGCCTAACTGATATCCAAAGCTGATTTCATCATCTTCCCCAAACTGGGTCCCTTTCTAAGGTGTCCTGTCTCAGTGGCCAGCTCTATCATCCATCTCATCGGAGCATCAGAATCTATCCTTACCATGTGTTTCTCCATTACCTAACGTATCACCATGTTCTGTAAATTCAATCTCCTAAATCTCTACAGAAACTATCCACTTCTTCCCTGCACCAAGCCACCATCATCTCTAAGCCTGGATCATTGTAACTGCTTCTAAGGGGTGACGCTATATCAGCTATTAGTCTCTCTCCAAAACATTCCTCACATTGCACCCAAAGTGACCTTTTTAAAAGAAAGACTTGGGGACTCCCCTGGCGGCCCAGCGGTTGGGACTCCACACTTCCACCACAGGGGGCACAGGTTCAGTCCTTGATCTGGGAACTAAGATACCAGCATGCCATGTGTCCAAAAAAATTTCTTTAATAAAATAAAAGGAAGGTTTGATCATGTCATTCCTGCTTAAAATCTTCCATATTGTTCCCACGGCTCTTAGAATAAAGACCAAAAGCTTATCAAGCCCATGTCATCTCCCCGCCTCATCTCATACCATTCACTCCTGCAGTCTCTCAACTGCAAGACAGAAGCCTTTTTCTAGTTTCTCAATACTCCAGAGCCTTTGCACACGCTGTGCCCACTTTCCTCAGCACTCCTGTCCCTGATCCCTACATCAGTCAATTGTGCTATATGACCACAATCTAAAACAGCCCTGCAATTATTTTATTACCAACAATCAGTAATTAGTCTTTCTTCCCCCCGCCAAAGTTTAAAAATATGAAGGCAGGGACCATGTCTCTTTTGCACATCTCTGTAAACCCAGCGCTACACAGCGTCTTCTGCAGGGTTACTACTGTCGTCTAGTTGCTAAGTTGTGTATGACACTTCTGTGACCCTAGGGACTGTAACCTGCCAGGTTCCTCTATCCATGGGATTTCCCAGGTAAGAATACCAGAATGGGTAGCCATTCCCTTCTCCAGGGGATCTTCCAGACCCAGGGACTGAATCCTCATCTCCCGTGTTGGCAGGTGTCTTCTTTACCACTGAGTCACCAGGGAAGCCGCCCCCCACCCCCGCCACTTCCGCAGGGTAGATGTTCAATAAAAACGACCAAGTGCTCAGTCCTTCCTTAATGCTCCACCAAACTGCGGCTGACTCTCTGCAGCTCTTTCTCACCACCACGCCTCTGCACCCACTGAAGTGCCCCTCCCTTAGCCTCTGCACATGTCCCTCAGGATCTGATTCAAAAACTCCTTCTTTCAAAAAGCCTTCTATGAAGAACTCTGTCATTTTCTCAGCACCCATAAACACTGATGCATCTAGTCTGTCTGAGGTGTTATTTATAAATGTACTGCTTCGGATGTTTCAAATAAAGCTCCCTGAGGGCAGAACCTATGCCACCCAATTACAGTAGCTCATTCCCCAACTCTCTGAATTATAGACACTCAACAAACATTATTATTGAGCCAACTATCATATTTGTGCCACGAATTACCCAACTTAAATGTGTTTTATTTTATGATCCTAAGATAAAATGTGAAATAAAGCAATATTCTCAGAAAAGCAACCAGGATTCAAACCTTAGTCCTGCTAATGCCACCTACTAGCTGTGTGACCTTGAGCAAGTTACTTTACCTCTCTGAGCCTAAGTTTACTTCCCACAAATGTTTTGCTCCAGCCCACAGATTTATCATGAATATCAAATGAAATGATTCTTGAGAAAATATTTTGAAAACTATGGAGGCTACCTGGGTTCTGACTGTTCAAATATAGCAGCATTTCAAAAATTTCCATTGAACAAGTCAATTAAAATCAACTCTCCTCACTCACAACTAGAGCAGCTAACAAGTCACAGAAGCAGCAACATTCTGTGTTTAGAAACATCTTTGTGAGGGACAATGTTGCTACATCTATAACCAAACTATTTCAGGTTAGTCTGCACATCCACACCCCAGACTGTCAAGAGTTCTTCCCAGCCGTGTTTATGTCGGGTCCCTCTCCAGGGCACGGAGAAGTAGGGGAGTCCATAAGTCTGAAAATCATTTCCTGCTGCGTACGTGCACGGTTGTGTCCAACTCTTTGCAACCTGGACTGTAGCCCGCCCAGCTCCTGTCCATAGAATTTTCCAGGCAAGAATACAGGAGTGGGCTGCCATTTCCTACTACAGGGGATCTTCCTGACCCAGTGATCAAACCAACATCTGCATCTCCTTTGGCAGGCAGATTCTTTACCACAGAGCCACCAGAGAAGCCCCGAAATTCCTTCTAGCTCAGGAAAATATCCTCCAGTCCTTCAAAGGGAAAGAAAAGGTGAGGAGATATAGAGTCTTCAGTTCTTTCTCCTCTTAACCTTTCCCATTTTCACAAAACCACATTATCTTCAAATTTGAAGGGGAGAGACAGATAAACCAAGACTCCGTGTATATAAGAAAGACCTGCAATAATTGTAATAAGATGCCTTTATAGAGGGCTCCTAAAATTAGGAGGTAAGAAGAATTGCAGGCTAAGTCAAATAAAGTGAAACAGACAAGAAGATGACGTGCAGAAAGGACACATTTCCTTGTGTTTCTATGGTTCACATAGGAAATGGGAATTCCCCTCCTTCCCGACTGTTGGGTCATGTCAAAAGTACTAACATCGCAACTATGAACAGAACCTTGTTTTACTTGATTCTTAAAAATGGTAAAAATCCACTGGCCTTGAATTTACAAGATGTATATGCAGAAAACAAGCAACACACATGGCTTTTCTGACGAGTACTTATTCTTCAGCCTGGATATCTGCTTGGTCAACAAGTCATCTGAATCACCCGACCATGACCAATATACAGGCAACAGAAGAACTGGGAAGTTGGCTTTTCTGCTGAATTTTGGGAATGATTGGGAATGCCAGAAGGGAGCAGAATTTTTATGCCTACTTTTCTTTAATGCTAGATGAATCAGCAAACTGGGTATCACAGTCTGCAGCAAACAAGGCAAATTGTCCATTTGCTTTTCCTAGATCAACATTCTACACAATGACTAGCCTCAGAGATAACTTAGCTAGATCCTTGTCTATTCTCTAGATCAGTGCTGTCCAAAAGAATTTTCTGCAATGACAAAAATGTTTTATCTCTACTGTCTAATATGGTGGCCACCAGCCTCAAGTGGCTATTGGCATGTAGTTACTATAATTAAGGAATTAAACTTAAAATTTTACGACAAAATTTAAATAGCCATACATGGGAGGTAGAAATTCTACTGGACAGAACAGCATTACAACTTCCTAATAAACCCAGAAATGAAGATTTTCACATTGAGGTTTCCAGAAGTACTTATTTGTGAAATGGTTCACTTGTTCTAGGGCTTCCCAGGTGGCCCTGGCGGTAAAGAAACCCCCGGCCAGTGCAGGAGACAGAAGAGACGTAGTTTCAATATCTTTGTGGGAAGATCCCCGGAGGAGGAAATGGCTACCCACTCCAGTATTCTTGCCTGGAGAATTCCATGGACAGAGGAGCCTGGTGGGACACAACTGAAGCGACTTAGCACAACGACACTTATTTTAATGACGAAACGGGCTATCACCCACTTATACTGAATTAGCAAAGAAGAGGCATGATACTTTCAAAAGACCAAGGAAAATAAACATTAGGAAGAGGCTACTGAACTACCATGTGAACTGAGTTTAAGCAAGCTCCTTCTTCCAGAGGCTAAAGGTGATCACAGCCCTGGAGGACAATTCCGTTTTCCCTGATGTGAAGCTCACATTCCTAACTCTGAATATACCAGGAAAGGGGCCCGCACTGCTACCTGGAACCCCCTGTGAACTTGGCTGGTCAGCTCCTCTCTCTAACTCCTAAATGAACTGTTGATACCTTCACTTCTCTTTAAACTTCCAACTACTTCCTCTAAACAGGTTTCACTTCCTTGTCCACAAAAGACAGATGGCTGGGGGAGGGAGACTGTTCCAGAAGGAGGATATGCAGGTTTCAAGGCCCTGAGGCTAGAGAAGGGGAAGGAGTCAATACTTTGAAAAGCCAGTGTGGCTGAGGCCAGAGAGAATGGGAAAGAGGCTGAGAGGCAGGTACACAGGCTGGTTCCTACTGGGTCTTGAAGGAGGTGGCAGGATTTTAGGGTCTATCCCATAATAAACACTAAAGCCACTGAAGGGTTCTAAGCCAGGTTTTAGGAAGGAAATGGAACCAGTGCACACACAACTTTTCAAAGAAGCTGCTACTTTAGGGAGGAGA